GATTGCCTGAGCCCGCGGGTTCAAGACCTGCCTGGGCAATTTGGCGAGACCTCATTTCTACAATAAATCAAAAAAATTAACCAGGCGTGGTAGCACTCACCTGTAGTTCCAGCTACTTGGAAGGCTGAGGCAGAAGGATCACCGGAGCCCAGCAGGTCGAGGCTGCGGTGGCCGGGAGCAGCCACTGCACTCCAGTCTGGGCGACAGAGTGAGACTACAACTCAAAAAAAAAAAAAAAAAAAGATGCTGACCTTACCGGTAGTCAGTAAGAACATGGGTTTTGCCAGGCTCGGTGGCTCAGCCTCTGATCCCGCGCCTTTGGGAGACTGAGGTGAGTGGATTGCCTGAGCCCACGGGTTCGAGACCTGCCTGGGCAGGCAAGACCTCATCTCTACAATAAATCGAAAAATCAGCCGGGCGTGGTAGCGCATGCCTGTAATTCCGGCTACTTGGAAGGCTGAGGCGGAAGGATTGCCGGAGCCCAGCAGGTCGAGGCTGCGGTGGCCGGGAGCAGCCACTGCACTCCAGTCTGAGTGACAGAGTGAGACTCCAACTCAAAAAAAAAAAAGAACATGGGTTTTACTGTGTGTAATAGTCATGTAAAAGAACAGTGGGATAAACGAGATGGAAATTTATTTCTGTCACAGGTAAAAGACTAGGCTGCTGTGTTGGCCATGCCCCTGACATCATCACAGCTGTTATGTCACTCTTTGGTCGGGGCCAGGGCACTTCCTGTTTTGTTGTTCTTCTATTCCTAGGGTGTTGCCCTTGTCTGTGAAGTCCAAAATGGCTGACCACCACATCTGCATTTTGGCCCATGGAAAGTGGAAGGGGTTGAGGAGGGCATGCTGAGCACAACCTGGAAATCGCACACATTATTTCTCATAAGCGTCATATCCTCACCTAGCTGCAGGAATCCTGGGAAATGTAGTCCATCTTTATTTTGGTGGCCATTTGTCGCCCATTTGTTAAAATTTGAATTTTTTTAGCCTGGTGTGGTGGCTCGTATCTGTAACCCCTGCACTTTGGGAAGATTGCTTGGGCTCAGGAGTTTGAGACCAGCCTGGGTAATATAGTGAGACCTCCTCATCTCTATTAAAAAAAAATTAAAATCAGCTAGGTGTGGTAACTCTCACCTGTAATCCCAGCACTTTGGGAGACTGAGGCAAGAGGATTGCCTGAGCTCAGGGGTTCAAGACCAACCTGGGCAACATGGCGAGACCTCATCTCTACAATAAGTCAAAAAATCAGCCAGGCGTGGTGGCGCATGCTGGTGGTTCCAGCTGCTTGGAAGGCTGAGATGGAAGGATCACCTAAGCCCAGCAGGTAAAGAATGGTGGCCATGAGTGTGCCACTGAACTCCAGCCTGGGTGACAGAGTGAGACTCCGACTCAAAATAAATAAACAAATAAAATAAAATAAAAAATAAATCACAGATGACTAGACCCCCACCCCAGAGTTTCTGATCCGACAGGTCTGGGATAGGGTCCAAGAACTGGTATTTCTTTCTTTTTTTTTTTGTCAGAGTCTCGCTCTGTCACCCAGGCTGGAGTGCAGTGGCATACTCACAGCCACTGCAGCCTCAACCTGCTGTGCTCAGGTGATCCTTCTGCCTCAGTCTTCCAAGTAGCTGGAACTACAGATGCATGCCACCACATCTGGCTAGTTTTTGTGATTTATTGTAGAGATGAGGTCTCACCTCGTTGCCCAGGCTGGTCTCAAACCCCCAGGCTCAGACAATCCTCTCGCCTCCACCTCCCAAAGTGCTGGGATTACAGGCTGAGCTACCGGGCCCAGCCAAGAACTGGTATTTCTAACAAGTTCCCAGGTAATGTTGAGGCTGCTTGTCAGGAGACCACACTTTGAAAACCACTGCTTTAGGGTAAGGTGGATATAAGAAGTGAAATCAAGGAAGGTAGGCAGAAAGACACAATAACATCTATAATATTTTATTTCTTAAACTGAGAGTTGGTGTGTGGATATTGGTGTCTAAATGAAGTAATGAAATATTTCCACATTAAAAAAATGATGATGGGCCTGGCGTAGTGGCTCAGTCTGTAATGCCAGTACTTTGGGAGGCTGAGGTGAGAGGATTGCCTGGGCCCAGGGGTTCGAGACCAGCCTAGGCAACTTGGTGAGACTTCGTCTCTACAATAAATCACAAAAATTAGCCAGGTGTGGTGGCGTGCATCTGTAGTTCCAGCTACTTTGAAGGCTGAAGCAGAAGGATCACCTAAGCCCAGCAGGTTGGGACTGTGGTGGACATGAGTGTACCACTGCACTCCAGCCTGGGCAAGAGTGAGACTCCCATCCAAAAAATAAAAAAGTGATGATGGAAAATACAACATTCTGGAAATTGTTGCCTTAATATTTGCAAATCAGCTGCTAACTCAGAGTTAGAGGAACAACATGTTACATTCAGATTAATTTGAAATAGGTATGTTAAAAGCCTTTCTTTTTTTTTTTTTTTTTTTTTTTTGAGTCGTAGTTTCACTCTGTCGCCCAGACTGGAGTGCAGTGGCAAGCTCACGGTCACCGCAGCCTTGACCTGCTGGGCTCCGGCTATCCTTCCTCCTCAGCCTTCCAAGTAGCCGGAACTACAGGCATGTGCTACCACGTCCGGCTAATTTTTTTTTTTTTTTTTTTGTAGAGACAAGGTCTCATCAAGTTGCCCGGGTGGGTCTAGAACCCATGAGCTCAGGCAATCCACTCACCTCGGCCTCCCAAAGTGCTGGGATTACAGCCTGAGCCACCAACCCCGGCCTGCTTTGTTTTAGTTTTCTGGAAACGCCTCCATTTTATCTGCAATTTGACCTGGTGAAGAATTTCCATTTCTCTTTGCTCTCTGACTAGCAGTCGTTTAAGACTACCTTTACCTTCCTAATTCAATTATATGTGCACTCGTATTGCCTAAATATGCAGATCACTGTAAAAAATGTTTTCATTTTGAAATTGTTATCGACTCTAGAATCTAAGTGGCTTGAAAGTTTACAAAGAATCTATCCATCAATAAGTACAGAGCACATTTTTCTATCGGTTTACCTATTCACAAAGAACTTAATTTTTAGGAGCATTACAACCAGATAATGTCCACACGTGGGAATCAAAAGTTAAGTCCTTGTTGGGCGTGTGTGATATCCTGCTGTCAACCCCAAGTAGCCACAAGGCAAGGTTTTTTTGTTTTTTTTTTTGAGTTGGAGTCTCACTCTGTCGCCCAGACTGGAGT